CAATCTTCCTCAAAAAAAAAAAAAAAAAGAAAGAAAAGAAAACATAGGACAAAATCTTTATGGCATTGGATTTGGCAATGACATCTTGGATATGACCTCAAAGACACAGTTAGCAGAAGGAAAAATAGACAAATTTGATCATGAAAGTTAAAAAATTTTGTGTATCAAAAGTCACCATTAACAGAGTTAGAAGGCAACCCACAGAATGGGAGAAAATATTTGCAAACCATATATCTGATAAAGAATTAATATTTAGCATATATAGAGAACTAAAACTCAACAGTAAAAAAAAAATACAAAAACAAACAAAAAGTCTGATTAAAAAATGGGCAAAGAACTTGAATAGACATTTCTCTAAAAAGGATCTATAAGTAACTAATAAGCACATGAAAAGATGCTCAACATCACTAATCATTAGGGAAATGCAAATCAAAATCACAATGAGATATCACCTCACACCCATTAGGATGGCTACTATCAAAAATCCAGAAAACCACAAGTGTTGGTGAGGATGGGGAGAGATTGGAACCCTTGTGCACTGTTGGTGGGAATGTAAAATGGTGCAGCCACTGTGGAAAACAGTATGGCGGTTCCTCAAAGAGTTAAACAGAGAATTACCATTTGATCCAGCAATTCCAATTCTGGGTATAGATGCAAAAGAATTGAAGGCAGGGTCTTGAAGAGGTGTTTGTACACCTATGTTCACAGCAGCAATATTCACAATAGCTAAAATGTATAAGCAACCCAAGTGTCCATTGGCAGATGAATGGATAAACAAAATGTGGTATATCCATACAATGGAATATTATTCAGCCTCCAAAAGGAAAGAATTCTGATGGGGCCGGCCTGGTGGCTCAGTGTTTTAAGTTCACACATTCCACTTCAGCTGCCTGGGGTTTGCCAGTTTGGATCCTGGGTGCGGACATGGCACTGCTTGGCAAGCCATGCTGTGGCTGGCGTCCACATATAAAGTAGAGGAAGATGGGCACAGTGTTAGCTCAGGGCCAGTCTTTCTCAGCAAAAAGAGAAAGATTGGCAGCAGATGTTAGCTCTTGGCTAATCTTCCTCAAAAAAAAAAAAAGAATTCTGGAATATGCTACAACGTGGATGAAGCTTGAGGACATTATGCTGAGTGTAATAAGCCAGTCACAAAAGGACAAATACTGTATGATTCCACTTATATGAGATACCTAGAGTAGTCAAATTCATAGACACAGAAAGTAGAATGGTGGTTGCCGGGGGTTGGGGGAGAGGGATGGGGAATTAGTGCTTAATGAGTACAGAGTTTCAGTTTTATAGGAAGAAAAAAGTTATAGAAATGGATGGTGCTGATGGTTGCCAAACAATGTGAATGTACTTAAAGCCACTGAACTGTATGTTTAAAAATGCTTACGATGGTAAATTTTACATTATCTTATTTTACCACACACAGAAAATGTGTGCACAAAGAGCTGTGGTTGTCAGGCATTTGGGGAGAAGAAGGGATGAATAAGTGGAGTGCAGGGGGTTTTTAGGCAGAGGAACTGTTCTTGTGATATTCAATGGTGGATACATGTCATTACACATTTGTCAAAACCCATAGACATGGGGCTGGCCCCGTGGCCAAGTGGTTAAGTCTGCGCGCCCCGCTGCAGGCGGCCCAGTGTTTCGTTGGTTCGAATCCTGGGCGCGGACATGGCACTGCTCATCAGGCCACACTGAGGCAGCATCCCACATGCCACAACTAGAAGGACCCACAACGAAGAATATACAACTATGTACTGGGGGGCTTTGGGGAGAAAAAGGAAAAAAATAAAATCTTAAAAAAAAAATCTATTTAAAAAAAAAACAACCCATAGACTGGGCACCACAATGAGTGAACTGTAAAGTAAACTGTGGACTTTAGTTAATAACGTGTCAATATTGGCTCATTGATTGCAACAAACGTTCCACACTAATGCAAGGTGTTAATGATAGGAGAAACTGCTGAGGAGGTGAAGAGGTATATGGAAACTCTTGTATTTGCTGCTCAATATTTCCGTAAACATAAGATTGCTAAAAAAAATTGTCTGTTATAAAAAAAGGCCAGAACCAGATCACAGGGCCATGGCTAGCTGCAAAGGAGGCTGGGAGAACAGGGAGCAGCATCTCTCGCCTGGGATGTGGACAAAATCCTTCACCAAATAGCAACAGTGTTCTGGTGACAAGGAAGATGAAGGGTGACACTAGGTGACCAGACCCCAAATCTCAACCTGTAGGCTGGTTACCCCAGTGAGCCAGAAGTTACAATAGATTGCTCACATCCATGCTGGTCGGAGCATTGCACACACCACACACCACTAACCAGGTGCCATGGCCTGGGCTGGTGACTGGCTGAGTCACTTTAAGGTAAGTCACCTTACCCTGACCTCTCAGTCCAGACTGCAAACTCTTTGAATGCTCGTGGGGAGCAGAGCAAGCCCGTGAGTGGTCCTGAGTCTGCAGGCCCATCAGCGCAGGACTTACCTGGGGCAGACTCTGCCAGGCGTCCACCTGACCTGACCACAGGAGGCTCCTCTGCTGGCAGCTGGCCCCTCCCCACTGCCTCCTGAGCTTAGTGACTGCGTTCAGCTCCGGTTCCCTCTGGGTCTGCTGAGCCATATTCATTCTCACTAGGAATGAAGGATAGTTGAAATTGAGGCATCGTTTTACAGTTATGAAATTTGTGAAGTCTGACAACAGATATAACACCCAGTGAAATGACGGGGCACCTTTGGGAATTGCTGGTGTCAGTGAAAACAACCCTTGGGGAATCAGTGTGTGTCTGTCATCTGAACCCTTCACCAGACACCAACAAGTAAGAATCTGATGATTACTTGATGTGGCCTAGATTAGCCCAAGAGAAGAGCTGATAAGCTGTGCATTTAGGGTAATAAACATGGTACTCTTTGATACACTAATCTCATCTCTGGGATCTTGATTTAAGGACATAAATGCAAAATAGAGGATATAGACACAAAGATATTAACCAAAAGCTTATTTATAGTAATGAATATTGGAACCAGCCTGACGTTTGGGAGAAGATCCGTTGCTCCGTGGGACACAATCTGGCGATAAGCGAACTAATCAGAGCGTGAAGGAAGCATTGAGTTTGCTGTTAGTGCCATCAAGTCTGATACAGGCCAGCACCCTGTCTGGTCATTCTGCACCATCCTCGCACTTTCTGGCTACTGTGTGAGACAATGCTCTGTTGCTGTTCGTAGAGTTTTCACGGCCAAGTCTTTAGGTGGCCAGGTCCTTCTTCCTAATCTGTCTGAGTCTGGAAGCGCCACTGAAACCTGTCTACCATGGGTGACCCTGCTGGTATTTGAAATCCTAGTGGCAGAGTTTTCAGCATCACAGCAATGTGCAGCCACCATAGTATGACAACTGACAGATGGGTAATGTCGTTCCCTGACCGGGAAACGAACCTAGGTCACAGGAGTGAGAGCACTGAATCTTAACCACTAGACCACCTGGGCTGGCAAGCATTTGAGGTGAGTATTTGTGTTAAAAGTCAAGAGAAAAAGTGGGATACAAGAGTGTGTGTATACTGTGCTCACAACTTAAATCTGTGCCTGGGTTGCCACCTTGGAGACTCCGTGTGCGAAGGGAGCCCGGTGGTGAGACTGTGGGTGAGCGTTTTCATCTTTTACTCAGAGTCGGATGGTGGTGCTCTCACCCCGTGTGTGTTTCACAGAAAACCCTGGAGACCACGCATCTGCGCTGTCTCCCTGGGCCTGCCCTGGCACAAACCTAGGACTGATGGGGTGTGCCAGGGGTCCCTGCAGAGGGGACTAGCTCCACATATGCCAGAGGATCCTGGGGCTAGAGCTGTGGAAGTATTTTCAACAGTGGGCAAGCAACCTTGTTCTCTGGAGGGGACCCTCTGGGGCATGCTCCCCACTGTCTCCTGGAAGTCCCTGGTGAGCCCACAGGAGCCCCTCTTTAATGCACCCTCGTTGCTTCCTTCTGTCCCCTGGCTCACCGCCCCCTCCCCCCACTCGTGCCATCTGGAGTCACCTTCCAAATAAACTATTTGCACTGGAATCCCTGTCCCAGGGTCTCCTTCTCTGGGAAGACACTCAGGAGAGAGGACAGAGACCTTAAGTTGGGGCTGGAGTCTGAGCATCTGGCTGGGTGTATTGGGGCAGGGCCTGGAAGGTGCCAGATGAAGGTCACTGCACATGGGCAGGCCCTGGGCCCTTGACTCTCCTCTCTACCATGGCTGACTGAGGGCTTAGGGATCAGCCTGAACCTGCCCTGGCACCCCCCTTGTCGTCCCGGTCCCCCTCCCCTTGGCCTCTGTCTTCCCCAGCATGTGTTGAGTGGGTGGCTCCCTTTGAGTCAGGCCAGGGTCCATGAAACACAAGAACGGAGAGATAGCAGATTCCCTCTTCCAGCTGCCTCTGGCAGGTGGCCACACAAGAGGTGTCCCCCACAGGCTGCCTTTATCAGCTCAGCCTTGGCGTGGGGGCCAAGGTCTGGCCCATTCTGGTGATAGGGAGAGTTCAAGGCAAGCCTCGCAGATCCCTATCAGGAGGGAGCAGAAGGCGAGTGCCGCCCACCTGGGCCCAGGGAGGGTGGGCCTATGGTCTGGGACTCCCAGTGACACTCTGCTCCTCCAGGGTTGGTGGCGACAGGCCTGGGCAAGGGACATGGGGACGGGGACCGTGGCTGTCACATCTGGGGTCTCGGTGCACTGTCAGACCCCAGTGAATTGATCTTCTCTCTCCGCCCAGAGGAGGAGAGTGGTGTCACTGCATACTCTACCCCTAACTGTCTCCTCTGTTATCAGGCTGTTAATATTAACAACAGTTGCTAAGGATGACAGTGCAAGGGTGTGTCTCAGCCAGAACTGGCCTAGTCCCAAGAGGGGGCTGGGGAGAGGAGGGGTCTGAGGCCAGGGGTAGGGTGGGGGGCGGCAAGTGGAAGTTTAGGGGGCCAGTGCCTGGGCCCATCCACGTCTCCCTTGCCACACCTCCTGCAGCAGAGGCTGAATGGGAACTCACTGCAGGTCTCTGGCTGGCTCAGCCCTTCTGTCATCGATTGCTTTGGGAAGCGGATGAAGGGGAGACCCTGGCACCTCCACCTGGAGGCTCATCTAAGAGGGTGGGGCCAAAGGTGGGAGGGACAAACGAGGCAGATCATTAATCAGCTGGGAGCCCTGGGAGGTGACATGGTCAGCTCCGTTGGTCCCCAACCCAGTCAGGCCAGGTTGTCCCTGGTGAGGAGGCTGCCTTGCTGTGCCTCCCCTGCAGCCAGCCCTCGGCTGTTCCTGCTGTCCCCTCAGCCTGGCCCTGCTTCCCCTCTGATCCTTTCAGGATGGCGGAGGCCAACCTGAGGGGCTGGCTGCTCTGGGTCCTGCTCCTGCACTTGGTGAGTCCCGGAGCCTGTGTCCAGGCCCCCGCTGCCTCCCATAGCGGGTACTGGGAAGGAGGCTGCTTGGCAACAGTGAGGGAGGGCCTGGGGTCTAGGGGGCCGGTCTCTGGACAGATGGGGATCCCAGGCACCCCAGAGGAGGGGTGCAGGTCGGGGGTCCTGGGTTGTCCAAGTTTTCAGGTCATGGGGTTAGATGGACACAAGTGTTGGGGAGGGGGCATCTGCACCCAATATGACCGAGTGCCTCCCATCCCCAGTCTGCCATGAATGTCCTGGCCTGAGGTGGCTGATGGGAGATCGAGGGAGGCTCCAGTCCTGGGGTGCTGGTGGGATGGGTTCAGGGGGATGATCATCTAAGGAGGATTTAGCATCTGGGGTTGGGAGGAGATCTGGGGCTCTTGCCTCTTGCGTTTCTCACTTGCTTGCACGTCTGGGAGGGTGGGTGAAGGCTTTCGGCCCTGAGCAGGTGAGGACAGGGGAAGCTCTGCACAGGAGCTCCAAGAGGGGCCCCGAGATTCCGGATGTGGCCTGCAGCTTGGGCATCACCTCGGCCAACTGTGATGGCAACAGGGCCTGGCACCCACCTGACCCGATGGAGTCAGCCCCTGACTTGTCCAGGGGCCACTGTTTCTCTGCAGGACCCCCCAGTGGCCTCCAATAGTCTCCTGGCCAACCCCTCACTGTCTGGTGTGACTTTGCTAAATGTAGCTCTGTCAGGTCACCTCCCTCTCTTCAGTGACCCTGTCACTCAGGATGAAGGCCTGGTGTGCCCATCCACCCATCACCACCAGACACTGCAGGGAGGTCCTGTGTGCTGTTCTGGCACCCATCTCCCTTAAGTCCCCTGGCAGCATGGAGCTGCCCAGCATCACTCCTCACCTCTCCTGCTCTGCATCCTTCCTAACCCCCATGCCCTCCTTGACTGCCGGCCGCCTATTGCCTTGTCAGCCACCTGGTGGTGCTGACCAGTGCTGGGCCCCATGGTGATGTTGCCCTGCTCCTCAGGCCCAGGGTGAGCTGTACACGCCCATTCACCAGCCTGGCTACTGCGCCTTCTATGATGAGTGCGGGAAGAACCCAGAACTGTCCGGAGGCCTGGGTACGCTGTCCAATGTGTCCTGTCTGTCCAACACGCCTGCCCGCCAAGTCACAGGCGACCACCTGACCCTCCTACAGCACATCTGCCCCCGCCTCTACACTGGCCCTAGCTCCACCTACGCCTGCTGTTCCCTCCAGCAGCTGGTGTCCCTGGAGGCCAGCCTGGCGGTCACCAAGGCCCTCTTGACCCGCTGCCCGGCTTGCTCTGACAACTTCGTGAACTTGCACTGCCACAACACCTGTAGCCCTAACCAGAGCCTCTTCATTAACGTGACCCGCGTGGCCGGGCAGGGGGGCAGCCAGCCCCGGGCTGTGGTGGCCTATGAGGCCTCCTACCAGCGCAGCTTTGCTGAGCAGACCTACGACTCCTGCAGCCGGGTGCGTGTCCCCGCTGCCGCCACACTGGCCGTGAGTACCATGTGTGGCGTCTACGGCTCTGCCCTCTGCAATGCCCAGCGCTGGCTCAATTTCCAGGGGGACACAGGGAATGGCCTGGCACCCCTGGACATCACCTTCCACCTGTGGGAGCCCGGCCAGACCCCAGGGAGCGGGATGCAGCCTCTGAATGGGGAGACTGCACATTGCAATGAGTCTCAAGGGGACGGCACGGCGGCCTGCTCCTGCCAGGACTGTGCTGCTTCCTGCCCGGTCATTGCACAGCCCCAGGCCCTGGACACCACTTTCCGCCTGGGCCGGATGGCGGGTTGGCTGGCCGTCGTCATCATCCTCTGCTCACTCTTCGCTGTGCTGACTGCCTTCCTCGTGCGGCCCCGCCTGGCCTCCTGCGGGGGCAAGGGCAGGACGCTGGACCCCAAGGTGGGCACCAGCCTCTTCGACAGGCTCAGCCTCTCCACCCACACCTTGCTTAGTCAGTGCTTCCAGGGCTGGGGCACATGGGTGGCCTCGTGGCCGGTGACCATCCTGGTGGTGTCTGTCGCTGTGGTGGTGGCCTTGGCAAGTGGCCTGGGCTTTATGGAACTGACCATGGACCCCGTGGAGCTGTGGTCGGCCCCCAACAGCCAAGCCCGGAGCGAGAAGGCATTCCATGACCAGCATTTTGGCCCCTTCTTCCGAACCAACCAGGTGATCTTGACAGCTCCTAACCGGCCCAGCTACCAGTATGACTCCCTGCTGCTGGGGCCCAAGAACTTCAGTGGGGTCCTGGCTCCTGACCTGCTGCTGGAGCTGCTGGAGTTGCAGGAGAAGCTGCGGCACCTCCAGGTGTGGTCGCCGGAGGAGCAGCGCAATGTGTCACTGCAGGACATCTGCTACGCCCCCCTCAACCCGCACAACACCAGTCTCTCTGACTGCTGCGTCAACAGCCTCCTACAGTATTTCCAGAACAACCGGACGCGCCTGCTGCTCACGGCCAACCAGACGCTGGCCGGGCAGACCTCCCTGGTGGACTGGAGGGACCACTTTCTCTACTGTGCCAAGTGAGTCCTTGATGGCTGTCCTGGGTGGGGGGGCCATCTGGGCCTCCCGGAACCCAGGCCAGGCACACAGCCTGGCCAAGGACCCTGCGTGCTCTGTGTCTCAGTCTCAGGGCCACAACACGCCGTTTCTCTCCACACTCCTTCTCGGGCCCCACTCCCTCAGTGGAGTTCCCGCTCACTGTAACAGATTTGCACATGGCCATCCTGGCCTTCCCAGCCCATAGCCCACTCAGCCTTTCTGCAGGGAGCAGCCTTGCACGTTCTGCTTTAAGTGTCACAGAGCAATCTGTTGGCCCCACTCTCATGTTTGTGCTTCTTCGTTTCCTCTTTGCTTCTGTGCAGGGCCTGGGCAGGCCATCATCACATAAGTAGTCCATGAGGGGCCCTCAGGCCAGGGCAGGGCCTGGGCCACAAACCCTCACACAATTCAGGGATCGCTCTCTGCTGTTTCCACTCTGCTGTGGTGCAAACAGGATGCCAATGAGTCCGTTGGGCCTCAGGACCGAGAGTGAAGGTCCGTGAGCTGCCGCTCCCTGGAGGGGAACGGGTGGGCGGGCAGCGGCCGAGGCTGTCCGAGGTTGGAGTGGGCTGAGGTCCTCAAATGTCTGGTCTCAGGGCCCCTTCACACTCAGACGATGAGCTCCAGCTGGGGTAGAGGGTCTATCTACCGACATTTCCCACGTGAGAAAGTAAAACTGAGAAATGAGAAAATATTTATTAATTCTTTAAGAATAATAAGTTCATTACATGTTGATGCAAATAGCATATTTTTATGAAAAATAACAATGTTTTCCAAACAAAAAAAAAAATCAGTGATAAGATGGCATTGTTTTGCATCTTTGCAGATCTCTTTAGTGTTTTGCTTAATAGGTGATGGCTGGGTTATGGCATCTGGTTCTCTGTTTGGTCTGTTGGTTGAAGCATAGTGGGAATTCCTGGCCTCACACACATGGAGCCGGAAGGGGGAGGAGGGCTGTAATATCCTTTCCAGATAACTGTGGGTCTTCTTTGATGCTACGTCAAAACTCAACAAGTGGTCTTTTCTTCAATGTTAGCTGCAATGTGGAATCTGAAGCCATATCAGTGAATTGTCTGTACTGTATACACTCGAGAGTGAAAAGGGCAAATAGCCTCTTAGTGTTATTATGAAAATAGTTTTGACCTTGCAGACTCTTGAAAGGGTCTCCAGGGCTCCCAGGGACCCCAGGGTGCACTTTGAGGAGAGAGCCAGGGCTCTCTGTCCCCAGTCCCCACCCCTCAAGGGAGCCTTGGCCCCCGGGCTGGCTCTCAGAACTGGCAGGTCAGGGAGGCAGGTCGGGCCCCATGTGTCCAGTCCTTGCGTCGGCTTTATTTCGGTTTTAGATGCTCACAACAACTCTTGGGTGATCCAATTATCCCCATTTCAGAGGCAGGAAAACTGAGGCTCGGGGGAGTGTACGTGGTGAGCTGCTCAAGGTCACACAGCAGCCTGCACTCCCAGGAGAGCTGGTGGCCAGTGTGCTCACTTGCTCTGAGTGCCTTGTCCAGGTACCTGTGATGCGCTTCCAGAAAGGGCTCAGTTGAAGGGTGTAGAGACTTGCCCAAGGTTGCCAGGCTGGTATACTGTCCACAAAAAAAAGAAATCCAAACTCAGGGCCTGGAGGGTTCTGGGTCAGTGGGAGAAGAAGGCTGTGGGCACTTGAGGCCTGCCTGGTTTGCCTGCTTTTGTCGGTGTTTAGGACTCAGGGGCTTGTGGCAGAGTCTGGGGGCCCAGGTCCTGGCCCCCACCATGGGGGACCTTGTGTGTGATGCTCACCCAACCATATCATCTGGAATGAGATGATGATGGAGCCTGCAGGATCAGGCTGGTGTAGGGGGAGATGAGAGCTCGGGCAGCCCCTGCTCTGGGGAGCTCCAGTCCACTCTGTGTTGGGCCGCGTGATATTTTATTGGGAGAAATGGTTCTGACACAGGGTCAGGCGATGGTGCTGGGGGCCTGGGGCGGGGTGCTGGGGCTGTGGTGATGGGAGCAGGAATGGGCTAGGAATGGTCTTTCCCTCTCCTTCTAGTGCCCCACTCACCTTTAAAGATGGCACAGCCCTGGCACTGAGCTGCATGGCTGACTATGGGGCCCCCGTCTTCCCTTTCCTCGCCATAGGGGGCTACAAAGGTAAGCTGAGTGGCTCCAGGGGAGGCCAACAAGGGGGAATATGGGGCAGGAGTAATGGACAGGAAGGTGGGGTGGTGATGGGCTTCCTGCTGCCTGGGGTGGGCTTGAGGGGGCTGCAGACCTGCCTGTCCTGCCTTTCTCTGCCACCTCCTGCATCTTCTCCTGTGCTGCTCAGATCCTCTGGTCTTGTGCCTGGGCCCAAAGGCCTTGCCCTTGGCTGAGAGAGGGAAGTGGGGTGTAGGGGGTCAGACAATGACTCGGTTGAGGGAGGTGGGGAGAGGGGAGGCAGGGGTGCAGCTGGAGCCAGGGAGGAGAGGCAGAGTGAGGCTGGAATGGGGGTGGAGGAGGCAGGGGTGAGGATGGAGGAGGGGGAGCGGGAGTGTGGCCGGAGGGTGGCTGAGCATTTCTCATCCCAGGGAAGGACTATTCTGAGGCTGATGCCCTGATAATGACCTTCTCCCTCAACAATTACCCTTCTGGGGACCCCCGGCTGGCCCAGGCTAAGCTCTGGGAGTGGGGCTTCTTAGAGGAGATGCGAGCCTTCCAGCGTCGGACAGCCGGCATGTTCCAGGTCACATTCATGGCAGAGGTAGGGGCTGTGGGTCCCCGGCTCCAGGGGATGACCCAGGTGTCTTCGGGTGGGTTCCTGTGTCCCCGTCCTGGCCTCCCCCCTCCTGAGTGACCCTGGGCCAGTGGCCGCCTGCTCAGGAGGACGGAGTGATGTGACAATGTTCTTGCAGCCTTGCTGGGCTCACAGTGGGCCACGCATGTAGCACCCACTGGCGAAGCTCTTGGGAGCCAGGCTGGCTGGAGCTGGCGTGGTCAGTGGGGCTGGTCGGGTGTATGTCCACAGCGCTCCCTGGAGGATGAGATCAACCGCACCACATTCCAGGACCTGCCCATCTTTGCTGTCAGCTACATAGTCATCTTCCTGTACATCTCCCTGGCCCTGGGCAGCTACTCCAGCTGGCGCCGAGTGCGGGTGAGAAGTAGGAGGGGCACAGCGAGGGTGGAATGGCGCATAAGGGTGTCTAGAAGCTTTCCAACTAGAGCATCTTGAAACAGCAAAGCAGACCACTCAGAGTGGCTCCCCCAAGGGGTGACAATTCTTGGAAGTCTTCTGATTCAAAAGGCCATTTGAGCTTTCATTCTGCTCCCTGACACCCCGACTTGTGCAAATGCAAAGCTAATATTTAAAATGTCCTACAATGTGTGCTCAAGAAAAAAGTGGCAGGCTCGCGTGGGCCTGCCCTTGCTCTGCGGAGTGGCTGGAACACAGAATCACTGAGCAAGCCCGCCTGCTGCCCACTGCCTTCCTCTAGCTGGGGGTGGGGGCACATTGGGCAGCCCTGCAGCCAGGAGGCTGAGCCTGGTCTCATTGCAGGTGGACTCCAAGGCCACACTGGGCCTGGGCGGAGTGGCTGTGGTGCTGGGAGCGGTTGTGGCTGCCATGGGCTTCTTCTCCTACCTGGACATCCCCTCCTCGCTGGTGATCCTTCAAGTGGTGCCTTTCCTGGTGCTCGCCGTAGGGGCTGACAACATCTTCATCTTTGTTCTTGAGTACCAGGTAAGAGGGCAGGAGTTCTGCATGCCCCCAGCCACCCCTCCACTCCCAGACACAACCCTGTTGGGCTTCTTGCAGACTCTTCTTAGGCATTGACGTTCATGTTTAAAATTCCTGCAGAAAACGCAGTGCTTTGCGTTTATCTTTCACATAAATACGTTCATACCACGTGTGTCACCTGAACTTGGTCTCTGTCAGCCCCACATGCTGTTGGTAAGGGAGTCACGCAGCACTTTGGAGCCACCTCCCATCTTTGTGCTGACACACAGCAGTCCACGGAAGGCCAAGTCAGTAGATTTAGCCTCTCCCATTGGTGAACATTTAGGGTTCTAGTGATGTGTTGGAGCAAGGATGCCATGCACATCCTGAACCACGCCAAGCGTTCCTCTGGGTCAGACCCTGAGAAGTGGAAGACGTGGCAGAGCAGAGTGTTAGCAGGGTCCGCTCCAGACTAGGGAAGGTCAGGCTAGTTCCTCAGGCCTGGCTGAGTCTGTGGGCAATGGCCTTGCCTCGGGGAGTGAGGGCACGTGTCAGCTCCCTGCTGGCCTGTGAGGGACGGAGTCCTTGGCAGGCTCTGGACCCTGTCCCTGCTTTCTTCACACAGAGACTGCCCCGGAGGGCCGGGGAGAAACGGGAGGCCCACATTGGCCGAGCCCTGGGCAGGGTGGGCCCGAGCATGCTGCTGTGCAGCCTCTCTGAGGCCATCTGCTTCTTCCTAGGTGAGCCTGGGCAGCTCCTCCCCACCAAGTGCCACTTGGAGGTAGTTGGGTGCGGGCAGCCCCCTTCCCTCTGCACCCATTTCTGAGCAGGCTTCCCACCCTGAGGTTCACTCCTGCCCCCCCCAGGGGCCTTGACCTCCATGCCGGCTGTGCGAACCTTTGCCTTGACCTCCGGTTTCGCGGTGATCCTTGACTTTCTGCTGCAGATGTCAGCTTTTGTGGCCCTGCTTTCTCTCGACTGCAGGAGGCAGGAGGTAGGGGCAGCGGCAGGACCGAGCACCCATCCCCAGCCCCATTTTGGCAGGGGTGGGATACCTCCACTTTGCAGAGAGGCTCAGAGAGCGGGGCTGGGTGCAGCAACAACATGCTGGAATATTTAGCTATGTGGTCCCCAATGTCTTATAGAAAAGTAATTCCATTTTGGTGATTTTGGGGAATATGATGAAACCTCTTAAAGTACAAGAGGTCACGAAATAAAATACAAATGGGAGGTTGACAGGGAGCTGTTGTTTCCGGGACGGTGCAAAATTCAAAGATATTTTATAAAGGTAGTAAATAAAAGCAAAGAAAACAGCACACTGGCGTGTCCCCATGGCACGCTGCTGGCAGGGGCACCTGAGGAAGGTAGCCACCCACGGGAGGGAGGCGGTCCCGGGATCTGCTTTGGGGCCACCTTGAGGCGCTGCCTCCGCCCAGGCCTTGCGGCTGGACTTCTGCTGCTGCTGCAGCGCCGGGGAGCTGCCCCCGCCGGCCCAGAGCGAGGGGCTCCTGCTCCGGTCCTTCCGAAAGTTCTACGCCCCGCTGCTGCTGCACCCGGTTACCCGCGCCGTCGTGGTGAGTGGGGCCGGGGGGAGGCTGTCCCTGGCAGACTTGATCCTCCTTTGCCTGTCGTCGGAGGGGCTAGGGCGGCTGGGATTCAGGTCTGCCCGACTGCAGACTGTTTCCCATGACACCCTGACCAGACCCCAAGTGGGAGGAGGTGGGGAGGCGTTGGGCAGGGCGGCTCTCACGCGGTGGCTTCCTCCTCAGCTGCTCGGGTTCCTGGCCCTGTTTGGAGGGTGTCTCTATCTCGCGAGCCACATCAGCGTGGGGCTGGACCAGGAGCTGGCCCTGCCCAAGGTGAGCCGTGCCCCGTGACCTCCAGTGGGTGCCCTCCCTCCCCTGCCCTCAGTCCCCTGGGATTCGGGAAGGCTCAGCAGCACACAGACGGTGGCCCAGGACTGCTCACTGTGTGGACCTGGGGAAAGGAGTTGCATCGATGTGCAAAAAGCTCAGGAGCCCAGCTCCACGCTGTGTGAGGGAGATGACCGGGCAGGCATGTGGAGGGCTGGCCATGTGAGATGATCGTCCAGGCAGAAGGACCCAAAGCTGGCTCAGCGCCCGCCCTGTGCTGGCTGCTCCACATCCTGAGGCCTGGGTGCACAGCAGCTCGCTATGGAACAGTCCCCTGATAGCCATCGAGGGTCGTGGGCTCTGGGGAAGGAAAGACCCCCGGGGCTCGAGGGGTCTAAGAGGCTCCTGGGTGGAGGAGAGGTTTTGGGGGTTCCGAGAATGTGTAGGATTTGCAGAGGGAGGCAGCGAGGGTGACAGTACTGACCCATGGGAGGCTGGCAGGAGCCAAGGCACATTTCCTGGGCATGGGAGTGACCATGGGTGGGGGTGTGGGAGGAGTGTGGACCAAGCCCCACAGCTGGAGGCCAGGGGGAAGGGTGCTGACCCCCAGGCCAGGGCCAGCAAGTGTATGGGGTTGACAGGCACCACACATCTGCGAGTCCAGGGACCCACTGCTCCTCTGCGTGTGCAACCAGAGGCTGCGTGAGCTGGTGGCTGGGGCAAGAAAGTCTGTGTGCCTGGGCTACCAGAGAGAAAGAGAATTCTGGGGACGCAGACATTCAGGGCCACTCTGGGGACAGAGACGGGGGTCTGGGTGCTGGCAGCAGGCCTGGAATGAGCAGCCTGGATCGCCATCTGCAGGTGGCCTTGGAAGCGAGATGAGGAGGGAAGAGAGTGGACAACCAGGACGGCACCTTTGAGCCACCACAGGGAACAAGAGGAGGTGGCAAAGCCAGCAAGAGTCCCGAATAATCCTGCCACCCATGGTGGCCCTGGGGGCTGCTCACAGGACTGAGGGGAATAGGGTTCCCAGGGCCCCCAGAGCGGGTATCAGGGATCTGGTGCAAGAAGCGGGCAAGAGGGGCAAGCCGGGGGGGTGAGAAGGAAGCTGCTGGGCTGCAAGACCCAGCCGAGGTTTTATGTTTATGCCCTTTGTTGATTTTTCTTTGGGGGAGATTTGTTTGTTTCTTATTACTTTCAAAAACTTTATTTCTTTCAATTTTTTTATTCTAGTAAGATACTCATAAAATTTACCATTTTAACTAGTTTTAAGTGGCGTTAAGTACATTCACATTGTTGTGCAACCATCACTGCCATCCATCTCCACAGCTCTTTTCATCCTGTAAAACTGAAACTCTGTCCCCATTAAAATTAAACACGAACTCCCATCCCCCTCCCCCCAGCCCCTGGCACCCACCATTCTACTTTCTGTTTCTGAATTTGACTGCTCTAGGTACCTCATATAAGTAGAATCAGACAGTATTTGTCTTTCTATGACTGGCTTGTTTCACTGAGTATCATGTCCTCAAGGTTTGTTCATGCTGTAGCATGTGTCAGAATTTCCTTCCTTTTAAGGCTGAATAATATTCATATATATATATATGAATATATATTCATATATATATGAATATGTATATACCACATTTTGCTTATCCATTCATCTGTCCATGGACAATTGGGTTGCTTACACGTTTTAGCTGTTGTGAATAATGCTGCTATGACATGGGTGTACAAATATCTCTTTGAGACCCTGCTTTCATTCTTTTGGGTATATACCCACAGGTGGAGTTGCTAAATCATATGGCAATTCTCATTTTAATTTTTTGAGGATCCACCACACTGTTTTCCACAGCAGCTGCACCATTTTACATTCCCACCAACAGTGCACAGGATTCCAATTTCTCCAAATCCTTGCCAACACTTGTTTTTGGTTTTTTTGTTTTGTTTTGGATTTTTTTTAAAAGATTTTATCTTTCCTTTTTCTCCCCAAACCCCCTGGTACATAGTTGTGTAGTTTTAGTTATGGGTCCTTCTGGTTGTGGCATGTGGGATGCCGTCTCAGCATGGCCCGATGAACGGTGCCATGTCCGCACCCAGGATTCGAACTGGTGAAACCCTGGGCTGCTGAAGCAGAGCGCGCGAACTTAACCAAGCAGAGCGCACGAACTTAACCACTCAGCCACGGAGCTGGCCCCTGTTTTGTTTTTTATAGTAGCCATATAATGGGTGTGAGGTGGTATCTCATTGTGGTTTTGATTTACATTTCCCTAATGGTTAGTGATGTTGAGTATCTTTTCATGTATTGGCCATTCCTCTATCTTCTTTGGAGAAACGTCTATTCAAATCTTTTGCTCATTTTTGAATCAGGGTTTTTTTGTTGTTGAGTATTAAGAGTTCTCTAAATATGCTACATATTAATCCCTTATCTGATACATGATTTGCAGGTATTTTCTCCATTTCTGTTGGTTGCCTTTTCACTCTATTGGTAATGTCCTTTGATGCACAAAATTTTTTTTTTTCATAAAGTCTAATTTGTCAATTTTTCCTTCTGTTAACTGTGCCTTGGTGTCATATTCAAGAAGAAATCATCACCAAATTCGATGTTTTGAAGCTTTTCTCCCGTTTTCTTCTAAGAATTTTATAGTTTTAACTCTAAACTCTTAAGTTTAGGTCTTTGATCCATTTTGAGTTGATTTTTGTTTGTAAGTATGTATATTTTTGAAGGTCCAACTTCACTTTTGCATGTGGACATCAGTTTTCCCAGCACCGTTTGTTGAAAAGACTGTCCTTTCCCCACTGAATAGTCTTGGCAACCCTGTCAAAGATCATTTCACCATGTATGTGAGGGTTTATTTCTGGGCTCTCTATTCTATTCCACTGGTCTATATCTCTGTCTTTATGTCAGTATCACACTATTCTGATTACTGTATCTTAGTGGCAAATTTTGAAATCAGCAAATTTGAGTCCTCCAACTTTGTTTGTCTTTGTCAAGATTGTTTTGGCTATTTGGGTCCCTCAAGATTCCAACATGAATTTTAGGATAGATTTTTCTATTTCTGCAAACAAGTCATTGGGACTTTGAAAGGGATTGCATTGAATCTATAGATCACTTTGGGCAATATTGACATCATAACAATATTGTTTTCTAACCTGTGAACATGGGATGTGTTTCCATTTATTTCTGTCTTCTTTAATTTCTATCAGCAATGTCTGGTAGTTTTCAGTGTATCAGTCTTTCACCTCCTTGGCGAGGGTAATTTCTAAGTATTTTATTCTTTTTGATGCTATTGTAAATGGAATTGTTTTCTTAATTTCCTTATTGGATTATTCACTGTTCATGTATAGAACTGCAACTGATTTTTGTGTGTTGCTTTTGTAATCTGCAACTTTGCTGAATTTGTTTATTGGTTCAAACAGATTTTTACTGGAATTTTAGAGTTTTATGTACGTAAGATCATGTAATCTACAAACGGAGATCATTTTACTTCTTCCTTTCCAGTTCGGGTGCCTTTAATTTCTTTTTCTTGCCTAATTGCTCTGGCTAGGACTTCAGTACTATGTTGAATAGAAGTGGTGAGAGTGGGCATCCTTGTCTTGTTCCTGATCTTAGAAGAAAAACTCTCAGTCTCTCACCAGTGAGTATGATGTCAGCTGTGGGATTTCCGTATCTGACTTCATCATGTGGAGGAAATTTCTTGTATTCTACTTTTCTGAGTTTTTTTTTTTTTAATCATGAAAGGATGTGGGATTTTGTCAAATGCTTTTTATACCTCAATTGGGATGACTGTGTGATTTTTCCCCTCATTCTATTAAACTTGTGCATCACATTATTTTCATATGTTGAGCCATTCTTGCATTGTAGGAGTAAATCCCAGTTGGTCATGTTGTATGATCCTTTTAATATATTGTTGAATCCAACTTACTAGTATTTTGTTGAGGACTTTTGCATGAATATTCATAAGGGATATTTGTCTGTAGTTTTTCTTTTCTTGTAGTGTTTTTGTCTGGCTTTTGTATCAGGGCAATGCTGGCCTTATAGAATGAGTGAAAAGTGTTTCCTCCTCTTTGATTTTTTCGAAGAGTCTGAGGAGTATTGATATTAGTTCCTCTTTATTTTTATATATTTTTAAGATTTTATTTTTCCTTTTTCTCCACAAAGCCCCCCGGGACATTGTTGTATATTTTTAGTTGGGGGTCCCTCTAGTTGTGGGATGTGGGACGCTGCCTCAGCATGGCCTGATGAGTGGTGCCATTTCCACACCCAGGATCTGACCGGTGAAACCCTGGGCCACTGAAGCGGAGCATGTGAACCCAACCACTCGGCCACAGGGCCAGCCCCAGATATTAGTTCCTCTTTAAATGTTTGGTAGAACTCACCTGTGAAGCCATCAAGACCAGGGCTTTTCTATGTTGGGGATTTTTTTTTTTTATTACTGATTCACTCTCCTTACTAGTTATAAGTCTATTCAGATTTTCTGTTTCTTCTTCTTTTTTATTTTCTTAAGATTGGTACCTGAGTTAACATCTGTTGCCAATCTTCTTTTTTTCTTCTTCTTCTTCTTCTCCCCAGAGCTCTTCAGTACATAGTTGTATATTCTAGTTGTGAGTGCCTCTGGTTGTGCTGTGTGGGATGCCGCCTCAGCATGCCTTGATGAGCCGTGCCATGTCCACACCCAGGATCCGAACCGTGAAACCCTGGGCTGCTGAAGCGGAGCACAGGAACTTAACCACTCGCCCACTAGGCCAGTCTTTGGATTTTCTATTTCTTCTTGATTCAGTCTTGGTAGGCTTTGTGTTTCTAAGAACTTATCCATTTTGTCTAGGTTATCCCATTTGTTGGTGTACAATTGTTCGTAGTACTTATAGTTCTTTTTATTTCTATAGAGTCAGTAGTTATGTTCCTACTTTAGTAATCTGAGTCTTTTTTTTTCTTAGTTCACCTAAAGGTTTGTTAATTTTGTTAATTTTTGTGAAGAACCAATTCTTGATTTTGTTGATTTTCTATA